GCATAAGCTCATTAAAACAATTATTACAGATGCTGAAAGAAACTCATACCTTTAAATAAATTGTAGTAGCACCCCTTCCTAGGCTTCACACCCTCCTCAAACTTCATCAGCCTCATTCTCCAGCACCAACCAGAAGAAGCTACAAATATACAAGCCACCAGCTCATCTTAACTGCAGCTGTTATAATCTATTGCTTTCTATCAGATAGTCTAATTGATTGGCATAACTGAAATAAATTAAGAGCAATTTTGTCTAACCTTTGTTTAAGTTGGACTGTGACATTACCTGTCAAACCCTGAACACAACATCTTGTCCATTTTCCAGATACATTATAGCTTGAAAAAAAAAAAAAGCCATTAGTTCTTCCTTAGATTCTTCCTTCGTTTATAATCTCTATACCATCACAACTGTAGCAACACTATAACTGCCTTTAAAAAGGCAATGGCCACCATGGCAGACCAGAATCATACATCACAGGCAGCGCTGGCATCACGCTGTACTTTGACTCTTAATCTGTGAGGAGGAAGCACCGCGGGTGGGAGAGAACAGGCTCTACGAGCACAGCAGGATGGCTGGATTAACTCTGCCAGGGGCAGCAAGGGGACAGCGCAAGCATTTCTCAAAATATCTTTTTCTTTCATGCCTTGAGGTAAGAGCAGGAAGGAACACCATCAAAAAGTGGGGTTACAAAAGGATACAAATAAAGTGGCAAAAATATTCGGCCGTCAATAGCTCAAGTGAGTTCTTCCCTTGTGATTTGAGCAACATGACAAATTTCAGCATGAAAGATTGTCTGCATGATTTGAGATAAATTAAAACTGCAAGGCTGTTCAGATCATACACATATTCTTATGCAGATCCCTTCATTAAACATTCAACATTAGTCTGGCTTAAGGAAGAGAAATTTTTGTACATAACTAATTCAGAACAAAGCAAGTGGGCAAACTGTACTCAAGAACTCTCCAAAAGGAGGCTGATTCTTCACTACAGTTAACTTTATACAACAACAAAAAGCAGAGTTTGGTCATATTGAACTTGTTTTCCTTGAAGTTACTTCTTAAATTAAAAAGAATATATGTGTGTATCTTTTAGAATTCCACCGCTTTTGGCAGCTACATTATTAATGAAGCACCCTGGCAAAACCCACAAGTGAATGGATTATCATGGGAGTCTTTCTTGCTATAAATTCCATTTGAATTTTCTCACTGAGAGGGGTTGGTCATGTAGCATGTTTTCTTCACCTCTGCTCTTTCTCTGTTTTTTCTTCATCCTTATCAAAAGTTCCTGAAAAGGGAAAGCTCTCTTCAGAGGTAGTGTCAAAAAAGAGATAAGCCTCATCTGCACGGCTCAGACTTTGCCTTTCTTGTTTTTTACCTTAGGCACATCCACCCACATAATAGAGTCAAAAGAAGGAAAGAGTTCAAGGAGTTTATTCTCCACTTTCCCCATCAGTAGTGTAACACCATCAGTCCTCATTTTGCAGAGAAGATTCTTGGAACTACAGGAAACCAAAATGACTTAGTGGTCCTGTGCACACAGCTAACCACAGGAAAGCAACCCTACATTGCAAGAAGTCAAAGGCCTTGAATCATATCTATAACAATTCCCAAACAGCTCCTAATTTTGTTAGGAGTCTCCACAATGTCTAGTCATACCTTTCTATAATTCTAAATACTGCAATATAGCAAATATCCTTCATCCAATGATTAACTGTTCTGATTCTTGAATTATGTTATCGTTAATATTTAACTTAAATTGTCTCTTCTCTAGCTCTTGTTCTGTCCTCAGTGATTTATGAAAATAATTAATCATTATCTCCTTTGTAACATCCACTCACATGTTGACGGAAAGTTACATATGCTCTCAATCTTGTTCTTTCTAAAAGGAACAGGCTCATTATACTATGTGTCTGGTCAAGTTTTCCAGTTGAGACACAGCCATGATTTCTATCCGACATAAACAGAAAAAAAGACAACAATCCTCCTCCCCTCATCTAAAAAGCAATATAAATACATATGTAAAATGTTTACGTTTAAAATAAATAATATAAAACAGATGAGAAAATTTTTCCTTTTTTTTTTTTTGGCAAGAATATCACACACTCCTAAATTTGTAAACCATACAAAGGAGCAGACATTTACAAGGTTTTATACATGTTTTTATTGTTAGTATGCACAACATCCATACATCACTGTCTTTTTCTCCGTTATGCTACTGACTGATGTTCAGTTTAATATCCAGCAGCTCTACTCCTGCCCAAATTATTCCCCCAGTACTGCTGCTCAGTAATATACTCAGAGCTCGTTATATTCTTTCATGTGATCTGATCTGACTTCCAAAATAAATCACTTTCACATTTCTTCAATTAAATCTTATATAACTGATTCAGCCCATTTATGCATTAAAAAGATCATACTCTATTTTAATCCTATTTTACAAATTCTTCTATACCATTAAATAATCACCCTTCAGATCAAAAATAATGCCATGAAAATCCACATTTATTTGGAACAAGTTTGCAGACCTTTAATTTTGCTGGAACTTGAAATTTTAAACCTGAAAGAAAATGCATTAGCTTATATGTATATTTATTTATATGTATTAACTTATAATATTAGGTATAGTAATCCGTGATACTATTGTGAAGCCATGTTTCTACATAACCTTGTCAGAAATACGCACTACAGTACAGATCACACTAACTTACTGTAACATAAGAAATCCTGTCATGAACATTTTAAAGCAAATCACTACATGAACTATGATTAATGATGAATCAGAAGAGTAGATTTATATGAATAACAAGGAAAGAGGAAAAAAAAAACACACGCTTATCATGGACAATTAGATGACAATGTAACTTACTGTATTTGCTGTGTTCTAATATGTAGCCACTTGGGATATCTTCACGTGACTTATTTAGACTTAGAATATACTTCTGAGTTGTACTACAGAATTTGGGGCTTTTCAAATGAAAAAGTAAGCCTAAATTTAGTCATTGTCAGTTAAGTATAGTTTTAAAAACTTTTCTGTTCATGTACACATCTTGTTTATGTGTTGGTTTCTTTCTTCTTTGTATTTGATAATCTAGATTTAGAAAAATATAGGGCATTTCTTACTTTAAGAGCCCTGACATTTATACTTACCTGCTTCTGTTGCAATATTAACCTTTGAATCATAAAATATTTTCTTCTCAAATAGATTTGTTACAGAAACTCAACACCATAAGTAAACCAAATTTCTGCACAGAGGGGAAAGTAAATGACTGTGCTACTTCAGTAGTAGAATGAAAAATACTTTAGCTAAAAGGTTAAAACATGCTTTTGAAGTTTTTTGTTATGCTGCTATATCACACATAAAGGGCTTACTCAGCCAGGGACAATTTCTTAATTTTCAGGAACGCCTGTGTTTTACCTTAATTTGATCAGAGACGGGTGCAGCTGATGTTTTCTGAAGTAATATCTATCTATCATAAGTCTATACCAAGTGCTAATGTTCCTACTGTCAGGGAGGGCACTGAAACACAAGTTTTCCCGTGCAAGTACAGCACAGCTGGTTTGGGGATAATTCTCTAGATTCCTTCAAGATAATTCTCCAGATTCTGAACTTCAAGGTTCAGAACTGTATGTAAAGTTAACAAAATATTTTCAAAGAAAACATGAGATTCTGGCACATCACCTGCCCAGGAGATATAAGCTGTATTTCAGTTCAGAAAACAGAGAGCATGGTGAACCCTGAAAGTTTCAAATTTGCTCCTTAAAATTGCTCTCTGGTAGCATAGCCCTCTGGGCATTGTCATGGAGCTGGTTCTAAAGCAGCATGCTGTGATATGGAGCACAGTGGGATGCTTTCACGTGCACTTTTCCATGCCATCCACTCAGTGCTGTCCCTGCTCTGAGCTGTTCCGCAGCCGTCCTATGTTTGGCTGCTGTGAGCAACCTGGGATGTGGGGCTGTGCCAGGGGTGATGCTGAGCACATCTCCACACACCTCAGCACCAGGACTTGCAGACAGCAATGAGTACTGCCAGAGAACTACACCCGTATAATGTTACAGCCCACACTTATCATACAGACCAATGTGAGATGAGATTCAATGTAAGGGATCTCACGCAGGCGTGGGATTCCTCTGTATCCATGGTTGGGGAGTTGGAGAGTGAGAAAAAAGCAAACAAAACAAAACAAACAAACAAACAAACAAAAACGCCATGTGCAAACCATAAGCCAAAGGATGGGAAGGGAAGTCACGAGCTAGAACCAAGCTGTGACTGTACAAGCAGTTATATCTGCTGAGAACTTAAAATGCAAATGTTAAGTTTTATTAATCCTTTTCTTAACTGCAGAGACGACCAACGCAAGCTCCTGAAATAATAAGGTAAAATGGGAATTTGGAACCTATGAGAGACAAAATGAGCAGCAGAAATTTGAAGAGGCTGAATAACACAGGAGAAGAATAGGGAGACTAGAAAATGGGTCGTTATAGTAATCAGATGAGAAATAGCTAATGGAAGGACTTACATTTTACAATAAAATTAAAATGTAGCTATTCGAAAGATACCAATAGGTGACATCCACAAGGCATTTCTGATAAACCAGAGTATATTTATTTTGTTTGCTCTGGCTGTTCAGACACTTTTCCTATCCTCTTCCTTAGCAAATTCTGCTTCCTTCTCTCTCACCTGTCATCCTTCTCTCTACCTCTTTTCACATCTTATTTTCAGGTCAACAGTTTCTTCTTCAAGTTTCTTTTCCCGTTGTAGCTTTGTTCCGGATCCCCTTTATTTATTTACTGACTCCCACACAGCTCAGCAATTTAATCTGCATTTGCAACCACACCACCACCTCATCTACTGACCACTGTGGAGGCAACAGGGAGAAACAGCAACAAAAGAACAAGCAAAACCTGCTGACCAAGGAGTAAAGAGCCTGGGGAAAAATTAAAAGGAAGCTGTAAAATCAGATGTGATTTAAAGGCATCTGCTCTTCACTCCAAGCAGTGAAATAACCATGTAATAAACATTTTGAATGTATGTTTAATTTCCATCATATATGTCATTTATGGCATAACCACCCAAGTGGTTCAGCTTGCAGCAAGAGACAGCCTCATTCTTCAGCAGTCTCTGTCCTTATTTTGCACCTCTAGGATACCGTTGAAATGAAGAGAACAAACACCCACATACATTTCTATTCTTTCGTAGTCTGTACAGTGCGTCTTCTGTGGAAGCAGTGCTGCTGGGATCACCGCAACCAGCTCCCCTCCTCGGCTGTGGCCTGTGATGACTTAGAGCACTACCTGGTACAATATGGTTGCTTAATTATCTATTGAGATGAGCTACCTAGAGAAAATGTTTTACCAACATGAAACATTTTACAGAATGGTTATCTGAGAATGTTTCAAATAAATAAGTGATTTTGTGTACATGCTCAAAATTTTGACGCCTGCTGAGGATTTTATTTTATTTTTTTTTAATTGTTATTTATTTTACTTTTTAAAATCGCTAAAATTTAAATTTTTAGCTACTTAAAATCTTATTAAATCTCTTCACTAGGGCACTAGCCTACAATTTTTGTATTGTCTAAATTGCAAATTATTACAGTGTCATGATGTTAAACATACTTAGCAAATATCAAAATTCACTTCTGTACATTATTATTTTGCTAACAAATTTTCTAAGCCCCCAGCAATTGCCATATATGTTAAAATCATCCAGGGTCAGCTTTAGCAATGTATGAGCTTCAGTGGTTCAGAATTTTACATTTTATTTTATTTTATTTTTTTTAGAAAACATGGCATGTGTTTGTATCAGCAAGTTTCACCCGTCATTATCCATCTCCCTCCTACACCTTTCTAGTATAAAAACCCCTTCTGCTTGCTGACAGAATACTAATTTGGCTTCATTTAAATGCTAAAGCTGCATAGTCCAGCTATCTTATTTAAAATATGTGTAAAGCTGTGAAACAATTGACAAGCACAATGAAGTGTGTCTACTGTAAGTTCTGCATGAAATTATTTTTCAATAGACACTAAAAAGCCAAAAGCTAACACTCCCATTTTTTTTTTCTCACATGCATCACCTAAAATCAGAGAAGGGAAAAAAGTAGTATTTACTTAGCAGCTCACCACTCTATAAAACTTGTTAAAATTAAAGGCCAGGTGATATATCCACAGAATACAGCTTCTATTCATGTGAGGACACTCATTCTTGTAACTACAACCACATTTTTATTCTATATGTTTAATAATAAAGTATTAAGAACATTGATTAATGTTTAATGTTTAATAATAAAGCATTAAGAACACCTATATCAAACATAAACTGAGGGCAATTGGAATTTCAATGTATGAATAGTACAAGTGAACTAAATACGGAGAGCTCTGTGGACAAGACCTGGGCTGGTATCCCTCAGCAGTACCATTCAGTGACCTCTGCTGAGAGATCCAAACTGCTTTCCTCAGGAAGGTGTAGTGTTACGGCATAAAATGGAGAACATAACATAACCTGAATGGTTACGTTCCATCCATTGACTTGATTCCAAATACTTGGCATGTAAGTGTATGGAAACGTGTAAGTGGAGTTTAAATGTAAACACCTTTATATAAAGATGTGTGATATATTTATTCTGTTTATCCATGCACATGCGAATAGAAAGCAGGAAATAAAAAATGTGCGAGGGAGCCCTTACACCACTGCAGAAAATCACGTCTGAAAAGATGTCTTTAAACTCTATAATTCCTGAAAGGTCAAAAAACAACAGAGATTTACCAGTAGAAGAGTCACTAATAAAAATAATTAATTTCAGAGGGTAAACATAACTTTTATTGTGCAGACTGCAAGTAGATAACTGTCATTGGAAACCTCTGTATTTCTAGATAGAAACTAAACATCATTTACAGTTCAGTATTTTAGAGAAATGAAAACATGGAAGACCTGATTGTAGTTCGAAAACTGCTTTGTGCACCAAGACCACTGCAGGACTGAGTTAAGGAGCTGACCCATATACAGAAAAATAGGATCTAAAATTAAACAGGAAAATGTACATCATTATTTTAACTTAGCTCAGAGTTACACAGCTAAATCTCTGTGCAGCAAACTGAAAAGTTATCTGTACATTGCAGATTATTATGTGCTCACTGAACAGACAACATTTAAATCATTTTTGCTGTTAGTATTGAATTTTTCATGCATTTTAAGGCTGGATAAATGGTTAGGAAAATAATTCAATAGGTCAGCCATTTCATTAACTTTAATATTAAACAACAAAATCATCCAAGCAGAATAATTATTATTATTATTTTTTGCCTGTGGACCTACATACTTGTCCAGGGCAGCAGAACCCACTGAGAAGCCTTCCCAGCATGCCAAAAGTACCACAGTGCAAGAAATCTAGGGCTGCACAACTTATGTTCCCCATTGAAATTGTGTTTAGTTCTCACCTAACACTTTACCTTGTAGCTAGATTTGCACATTTGTTCTCAGGCCAAGGCTTCTTGCTCCCAAAGGTTAAGATATGCCTTGCTTTGCTTTAATTTCTGAATGTACACTGAATATCAGCTTAACACAGTTTAATAAATTATCAAGAATACTTATGTTAGGACTTTGATAGTATCTAAAATATTTTCCACAAGGTTATAAATTACCTGCCTGCAAAGATCTAATGCCACTAAAAGTCTCTGTCAAACATTTCCTATTGTTAACAAGGGTGACATCCTGGTTTTCTTGATGCTAACGGCAAAATACCACCAACTGCACTGAAGCCAGTGTCTCACTTAGAGATGCTGTATTCCAATAAAATAAGGATTACAGTGTTTTGTAGAACTGAAAAGATGGGTACAGTTAAAATGGATGCTAGAATGAAAGCTGACTGTGTAAAAATACTATTTCCTTATTCAACAATCCTACCCTATAAACACATTCAGTCATATAGCTGCTTATACTTCTAGCTATATACTTATACTTAATTTCATTTCCATTTCAGAGATGCACATTATGGTTAGAACAAGCAGATCTGGCTTATACTGTTTCTCACCCCTGTGATTTCATCGTTAGTCTCACCAAAGTCTATCTTCCTCTCAAAGTCACAACCTCTTGAATATCAGCAATATTAATTGGGGAAGAAAATCAGAAGAATTTAAAGCAGAAGAAGCTTTTAATTATCATACAGGAGAAGGAGACAGAAGCAAAAAAAACAACACATCCTAATTTTTCTGTGATATCTGAAGCCCTGAGTTTGACTAGCTTCTCATCATTTATAAAATTGTAAGAGACAGATGAATTTTAAAATTCTACATGCAGTAACAATCTGCTACAAGCTGGAGCACCCCTACTGAAAATACTGCTCACAGAAACTTTAATATTATGTAAAAGAGAAAGATGGTCTTTCAGATACCAGCTTAGACTTGCAGTCAATATGCCTGTTGTACCTAAGAGAAACCTTTTATTTTCAAACTTGAAAACTTTTACCTTGTGCTCTCTAAGACAAAATGAATATGCCACTTTGCTACCCTTCAATAAATTGTCAATGTTTCACAGCACAGGGTTCTGACTTTCACTTAGGAAGATGGAATTTATAATCTCTCAGGGATGGAAAAAAAGTTTGGACACAATTCAAGTGTAATCAAACCACTAAAAGCAAAAACCTCATGCAAAACAGAATGAGAGAAGTTGCGTGGCAATATATCTTCCTGGCTGTGCTCCATGAAGGGCTGCTGAGGCTCACCTGTAAAGGATACTGTTGTTGGCATTAATTCTCTCCTCCTCGCCGACTGATGTGGTGTGCAAAAATGAGGCAGACCTGAGACAAGCTGAGGGTGACCTGCAGTTTTGATATCTCTCCTTCCTCTAGACCCTAAAGGAACCTCTCCTTGGCTGTTGGAATCAGTGGTTAGCAAGAGCCACAGATCAACTCACCCCAGTCATGATATCAGTGATATAATAATATAGGAAAAAGATGAGAGATACTTTTACTAAAAGCCACTCTTGATCCTGTAATATTGTCAACTCCCTACCTCTAGCCTGTTTTGTAAACACACACATTTTACTACAGCAGGAATGAAGGAAGTTGGGTATACCCAATTTTGTAAGATTTCTCCTTGCATCTCAGGCATCCAGGATTTATGTTGCTCTATGGCAAAGTCTGAGAGAAGACGTAGCCCAGCAAGATGAAAAGCAAAGGAGCTGTAAACTGAACATCAAATGAGTTTGATCCCTGCTTTCACTGGCTCCGAAGTACATGTGCCCAGATGTGGCCTCCTGCTTCACTAGATAAATAAGTATTGAGTTGAGCAATGTGATTTAAGAAGAAAATTATATGACACAGTATGTTTTATTTCACAGCATGGTAAAAAATGATTAAAGAAATGTGAAGAAGAGTAAAAGACTTGCTCTTTTAGCTTTACTTTCAAATACAGTAATATAACAGAACCACTCTGATATGCCGCTGCATGTACCACTTCTATGCCTATTATCCATCTTCTTAGAAAAAATGAAATCTAGACCTACACATTTTACCTTAGAGCAGAAACACAGGTTTCGTAGAGTGAAAGCTTATGAATGGTAAAACAGGAATTTAGCACAGTGAAAACACAGTCCAAACTTGGGGGGTCTATTCTCTTCTTATTGCTTTTATATACTTCCAGTATTCAAGAAAATTACGTAGAAGCATTAAAAGTAGGATAGACTCCCGTGAAATGACCTCACAAATGAAATTAAGAGAGGGAGAGAGCAGTGAATAACTGAATCCCTTGAGCTAGAAGAATGTCATGCTGGAGTGCTGTGGGAGCATATAAAATCTGTGCTACTGTGCACCCACTTTTCAGAGAACCTGTGTAACTTATGAACCTGACAGCAATGCCATACCTACCTACAGGCTCTTCCTATCCTCCCTCCCACCCTGTCAGCATGCTTCCACTAAGAACTGCCAAGGAGACTGACACAATGAAAATACAGTGGTTTGGCTGCCTTTCAACCTTCTATATACCCTGGAGACAGAAGGATTACTTATTATTAGCAATTATGAAATTTAATCCACTATACTACATTGCATATGATCAAGCTTTATTATACTCTAGTGAGTCTTACCATAGTATAAACATCAGATTATAAACCTATTTTTTAAATGCATTGATTTTAATTTTATATAGTCAACTTTCTCTGCTGCAATGTGCTCACTTCATTCTGTAATGCTGATAGAGCATGGCCCTTGAGTCACTTGAACAGCACTGGCACATGTTTCTACAGGTACACAAGGAGAAAAAAAAAAAGATTTCTCTTCCATATTTTCTTCTTAACAAAGGAAAAGCTGGAACGTGTGGATTAACTGATAATTATGACTATGGATGAAACCTGAAATACTAACAGGAGTGAAACCACATCTCCAAAATCCTAATTCCATTCACAAAATCATCCTGGCCTTCCATGCTCTATCCCCACAATCAGAATGGAAGAAATAAGTTAGAGCCATAAGAAATGTGCACCCTGAGTGCAGTTTGGCCAGCCACTATTAGATTTGGTTCACAGTTTTCACTCTGTCACTTTAAAAAACAGGTGTTTTGCACTGTTTTCTTATAGTGGTCTTTGTTCTCATAAACTATGATACTTAAGAAAATCATAACACTCTTTCTCATGGACCACTACTGTAAGAGAGACACAATCATTACTACCTAAGTGACATTACACTTGCTAACTACAAGGGAAAAAAAACACCACCTTTATAAGAATATGTACTCTTTGCTCAGTCAAGGATTATCAAGACCTAATCCTTGTTAAATAGTAAAATATTTGATTAGAAAGAGAAAAAAGAGCAAAAATAATTTTCAAGGTAATCATTTGTACATATTGCTCCACTCTGTCTCTTTCCATTATGTGTGGAAGCTGTATTTATCTGACTGCTTTCCCCACCTACTAAACAGCAATTCGTACACTGAGGAGGCCTTTTCCACAAACTGTAACACTCTGTTCTGCAGCATAGGCGTTTCCCCTAGGGAGAAACCGCTAGCGCCAGACACTCGTGACCCTCATCAGTCACATCATGCAACTGGAAGGCACTTAGTGCTGCGAGGAGCACGCTATGAGAAGCTACATGTATATGCAACTGTGCTAGTGCTTTTACTTGAGCCACTCATCGTACAGTGACTTACTTTGAAGAGGCACCTGGTGACCGACATGTTCCACCAGGAACATGAGTAATGGTGCAGTGTGGATAGATTTGCACTGAATATCTACACTATTCTTCCCTTGCCCCACACCACAACTCTGTACCTTCCTCCTCCATACTATCTCCAGCTTTCCTAATCCTTACAGTAATTTGAGCATCCCACCATGGCTTTACCACTCCTTATCTCCAGTTTTTCTCAACCCCAACACCGTGAGAAGGATTTTAAAAGGGTTCTCTCTACCCCACATGGGAGTTGGAGGAACTTAATACCTTTGAAATCAACCATTCTTCCAGTTAAATGGCCTACTGGTTCAGAAGTTCAAAAGGCTGACAGCACAAATACAAAAAAATACTTCCTCAAGTTAAAAAGCATTCCCCTAAATGAAAATTTAGATGAGTAAATCAGTGATGAAAAATTACAAAATACATGGGTTTTAATAATCATTATAGCCCAGAGCAAGAACCTCAAGTCTTCTTTCTTACATAACTGCATACAGGATAACCACAACCATTTAATCAAATTTCACCTAAAAAAATAAGAATAAAAGGGATATGATACTCTTAATACTATTTTACTTTCTAAAACCAGAAAAGATAAAGCACCCCAAATTTAGACTCAGTTCAGTACTTCAGTAATGATAAACATAAAGCAGTGAAACAAACCTAGGCTGTGCTTCGTGTCTACAGAATGACATGACATTCATGTGGAATGAATGTCATTCTATGCTCATGACAGAGCTGTGATTAATTAAGCAACGATCCTAAGTGATTTCTCTTACCTGAGTATGCACAACCCCAATTCCCACACACTACTCATTTGACTGAGACTGGAAGGAGAGATCTTCTGCTTAGGACAAGCAAGCATCAGATTGGTCAAAGTTTAAAATGTACCAATATAATCATATTAAAGCATTGCAAAATTAGAAATAATTTTTATCAAAATAGTCATACAGAAAATCTACTATTCAGGGAAGAACCAAGTAGTGAACCTGACGGTTCAAATAACAAAAACATCAGGAAGGCAAATGTCCTCTGTCAGGGAAGCTCATTATTTTAATTTAATTTTAATGGGGAATTTTAAGTAACGGTGAAATGAATTACACAAAGCTTACTAAATCTTAGGAGTTAAGGGAGTCCTATAGTCCAGGTTAGGATGCCTTTATGTGATGATAATGATCCAATAACTTTAGATGTTCCCACTGCTGAGATAAGGCATCCAGGACAGCTGCACACTGAGCACCCACCAGCTGCAACTGGCATGTGAGGTGAAACTTCTGGAAGTGAGGATGAGGGTAAACAGACAGGTAGCAACCAACTCTGGATGCACAAGCTTCCTTCATATACCAATTTCACTTCTCAGTACATGAAACCTTAAAACTTCAAAAAATTTAAAAAATCCTATACATTGAAGACAATAGGAACCAGATACCATTGTATATTCTGAAAACTTTATCCTGCAATGGTTCCAAATATGTTCCTCTTTTGATGATTCACAGAAGAGTGCCGTTCTCATGTGTCCTTTTGACTCATGCTGAAGCCTAATTATTTATATATATATATTTTTATTGCTGGAACCATTTTGTCTCATCTGCTCTTTGTTTTCCTTTTATTTCTTTTAATCTTCTAAATTTATAGATATAGCTTTCTATCTTTTATTTTCTTTTAACTCTCTTGTGCTTTCACTCTTCTTTCTTTTCTGTGACTTTTCAGGAATCCAAACACTGTGAAAGTGTCATTTTGCCTCCTTTTATTTAATCTGCCCATTTCTTCCACTGAAATGAAAGCCAAGGGAGCAGGAATACTTTAGTTAAGATACTGCCCAAGCCTGCAGCTATTTACTTATGAACTGATTATATGAATGACTGTGTTAGAAGTCATTAGAGGTCTAAGGGAAAATGTCAGGTAGGTTATAATATAAAAACTGGAAATAACAGCTGGTTTTCAAGCAGCAGTGTAATACACTATCCACAGCTGCAAATCCCTGTTAGCACAGGTGTTGAGGCACCACTGAGATCAACTTTGCCATCTGCACTGCCCTGTTTTTGTCTGCCTATCAACCATGGCTTGTAGGCTAACCTTTCTCTCCATCACACATTGATAAACACCACTTAAATTCTGTTTAAATAAAGATGGATCTTGCTTTGGAAAACAAAACAAAACAAACAAACAAAACAAACAAACAACAACAAAAAACAAACAAACAAACAAACAAACAAAACACAACAAAAGCACAACGAACCATCACCACCAAACCTGAATGATCGTGAATACACATAATAATAGACTTTTGAAAAGTAAATCTGCCAGGATAAGAAAATCAGCGTGAGAAATAATTCCTTAGAGGAGGTGAACTGTAGCCTTTTGGAATTCTGTGCGAATGTCTGAGAACCAAGTTCATAGCCCAACAGGTGAGCTTATGGGTTAAAAACGATCAATGTGGGGAAAAGGTCAATGTTTGCTCTAAAAATGGCAGAACTATACATGTGATGTATTATTAAATTTCAAGTCTTTGTGAGGAGGAAAGTTGGCGCAAAAATTCAGGCAAGATAGATTTGAATAAATCTAAAACTATAACTACACTTAGTTATTTTATATGCAGTAACTTGGCTAATGCCAAAGAAAACTTTCTTCTCTTAAGTCACTGGCTCCCATCATCTGGAAAGAACAACTGTTCCTCTTTAACGAATGGCAGAAATCCTGTTCCCTGTATTCAAGCATAGTCTTCCAGGATCCACGAACTGCAGCAAGACCTGGCTAATACACTTTATGTAAGAGACAGAAGGTTTGAAGAACAGGGTGAAGGTGTTAGTCCAGCCAGGTAACACCTTCAGGTAACCTGACTGAAGAGATGCATCAAGATGCTGAAGAACCCACCTGGACTGTATATGCTTCCCTCTCCCAAACACCAGCAAAACTGGAAAAAAATGAACTGCAGTGACACCTTTGGCCACTGGATGACAAAGCATCCAGCACCACCTAACCAGTCACTGTGCCAGAAGTGGAAGCAGGTGGTATTAGCATTTGCCCTGAAGGCAAATCAGACCATTCTGAATTTCCAGACTTGTGTGAGGAAGGTAGAGTGGCCTACAGACCACCTGCCGGTCTTCTTGGAGGCAGAAGTGAGATGGCAGCCTGCCACTGGGACCGAGCCAACTTCTGCCCTGGTGACTGACAGGTTTGGTCTTGCTCCCTGGAGGAAAACGTATTGCTGCTGGAAAAGCAAGCCTGTCTGTGAAAGGCCAAAAAAAAAGTATGAATGGACAATTTAGGGAAATAACTTTTCCTTATAAATCCCCCCTTTTCATTAACACTTTTTTTTTTTTTTTTTTTTTTTTTTTGTTAAAATAACTCATTTTAAGTCTACTAAATAAATAATGTCAATTCTGATGCTTCGCTAAATAACTGGACATTCTCAGTAATTAAGCAGCTTTTCTACACAGAGCAGAAGGAAATATTCTAATGTATTGACTATATTTTTCCATGGCACAGAGCACATAAAAATAGGCAATTTCAATAATCATTATTACTGCTACAGTATATATTAATATATTTTGTATAAATCATTGCCTCTACTATCAAGTCTGCTACTGCTCCTGCAAATAAAGCGATACCTTGTTACCTAGCAACTGAGCAAGTCGCTGCTACACTGCCAAAAAAAAAAAAAAAGGGAAAAAAATGAAATATATGTATTTATATATCCCCTTGGTTTCACGTTGAGAGAACATCCATAAAGAACAAAGAATAATCCACTCAAAGGCCCTGAAATTCAATATTTAAATAAAATATTTGATCCTCTGCATTCCCTAAGTATCATCAGAAGCTGGGTCTAGATTAAACATGCATTACATATCACTGACAATACAATGTTCTTGCTATGCATTTCTTGGAATATTTTATTAATGCATATATATGTACACAGACATTACATATATAAGTCATGGCATACACTTAATGCTACATTTGATCTGTATTAGAATAGGAATAGGCTATCACAGGGCTTTCTTTAAAGTCTGCTTGCTTATGCTAAATCAGTTTCTTTCCTGTTTAACATAGCAATGCACAGTATTACCTTTGACTGATGCAATGTCTCCTTTTAGGATTCTGTCATTTGTACAAATTTGTCCTTGTGTTTCATACAAAAATAAAAGTACGCAACCAGTACATACTACAAACCTCATCACTTCATTGCTTTATATTTCATGTCAGTTTCTGACAGATTGCCAACACTACCTTGGTCAAAAATGAAAAATGAGAGCTCAAGAGTCTTACTTGTGTGGATGAGCTACTTGTTCTGGGCAACATGCAGATTCTGCAGCAGCCCCTGAACCCTCTGTGTGTGTCTGGCCCACGCTCTACCCTGAGCTGAAAAACGCAGAAGGATTCATGGCCACACAGTATGAAGACATACCCTTCACTACAACAAGGACTGCCAATAAGCCTGTGAAGCAGGGAGAATATGAAGCCATGAAAATTGCTGTCCTGAAGGCCCACAGTTTCATTAGAAGGTAACTGTTTTTGCATTCAATACTGTCTAAGTCATTACACTGCCTAAAAATCCAATGCAAAATACATCTGAAGACAATGCAGGATGGTTTTCCTAAATTTCACTTCAGAGGTAGGAGCCAATCACACATTATTACAGGTAATGAAAAATTACATCATCATCGATCATTACATCAAATTACATTAAACACAAATAGTGATACCATGCAAAGCTTTGAATGCTGCTCCTGCTAGCAGCTTATGTAGTAAAAGTGTTCCTGAAACATGTTGTTAATGTCCTCTTGAAACTTTTTAAAGTCACCTATCTCTTACAACACAAGGATATTGGCTTAGTTAATCATAAGACAAAACTATACACTACCTATATCATGCTGTCTTGAACATCTGCTGTTGCTGTAATCCTTGCTAATTCATACCAAGAATATACAGAAAATGATAATATGCTTGCACCCAAAGAGTCCTCATTTTGTGTGGCCCTTACCCTTATCTCCAAGTGCTAAATAGTAGTTCAAAGTCTTCTGCAGCTTGGTTTTGCCCATTTTTGAACATTCTTACAGCCTTTTAATGAATATGGAACATATAGCAATGAGTGGGTTTCAGTAAAGAGCAAAATACATACGCATGGGTGAGGATGATTTATTGGTTAACGTGGCATTCAAAAGCTTCTTTCAATAAAAATTTTAGAAGTTAGGAAAACACTACAACCTATACATCCTACAAGGATAAAGCAAACATCATACCCTACAGGCTTTGTATGATGAAGTCTGTGCATATTGTCTCTCTCTCTCTGGAACGCAGTCTTCAGTGACAGATGGCACAACCACTACCTACAGATGGCTCAAACGGGGCTCCATAGCTTTGATAAATACTGCAATCAACTCCTAGGATAGGTATGGGTCAGGCAGCAGAGCAAACACAGGGAATAAATCCCTCAAAAACTTCTTAACTGTAGAATAATCACACACCTAGTATTATCCTAAACAGACAGATGAAAGTCCCCGGCTTTTACTGAGCTGACAGAAATTCAAGACTACTTAAAAAGAGGTCAATAGTTTAGGATGAAAGTGTTTGAAATTAGCCTCAATCAATTTCTTATCTACTTCATCCAGAAAATCATTTCCACTTTCATCATGGACCAAGCATTCCTGGTAAAAGTATTCTTGCTTTCCAGTAGGATTTGTTATACTTTGAAGGAGCAATCAAACCTATCACTGATAGAGTCCTTGGTTTGGTTGGTAGAAAACATCCTTGCCTCAGACGGATGATTCACTACAGTGAGCGGAAGTATTTGAATAGCTACTACAAGAAAATCAAAATTCATGGACTGATACTGTGGCTATTTGTAGCAGACTAGCATAATCTTTTCTAATCGTCTATAGAAACCTGGAAATAAGAACAAATGGAGTGACCTTACACAGGAGCATTTGCTTGAACAGAAGTCTCAGAGACCCTGCTCTCTCACTCCCTACTGTTAAAAAGACAAGTAAGGCTTTGCAATGTGTTTTGTGGCAGTGCAGGACTAGTGATGAGCTCTGTTTGTTACTTGTTTTCAGCCACTCAAACTTTGTGCCATTTGGGTTAAAGTCTTCTACCAAATGCCATCTACCAGAATGTTCTCATCAACTAAGTGCTGTAGTGCTACAGGTGTGTATGCAGTAGAAAACATACAAGCTCCAGAAACGTTTTGGATAATCAGTTAAAGAATAAGAATATTCCATTTCAAATTGATGTCACACAGGAAAGATGCTTTCTGACAAAACTAATTCACCCTTTGCCCTTACACACATACTTTCTATTAAGAAGATGCATATAAATATACCTTACAGATGCATTACAGAAGGTGGACTACACCTCCATTCAGAGTCCTTGGACTGTAAAGCAATCCAGATAAGTTCCCCAGCCCAAACCTTCAGCGTAATAGAAAACAATATCTTTGCAGAATGCTCACAAGTGGAGCTCTGCAAATCTTGTTTCCCAAGAAGTAAAACAAACCCATTGCAGTATTAACAGGTAATATGACATTTCAGAGCAGCCTTACTAAAATCTAAACTAACATATGCCTACTGGATTCTTGTCTGTGGACGATAACACCAGAACTCAAATAAATATTGTAATCATTTTAAACCTTGATTACAGTCCAATTACAGGAATATCTAGAAGCTCTCCTGAAGGCCTGAAGTTTCTATTCCCTTCTGCCATCACTACTTTTTCCAGAATTCAAACAGACAACAATAAAACTGCTTCTTTTCAACTACTTATGTCTACAATTTAATGAGCTTTCTGTCCCTAGCTTCCAAGTTTCACTGCCTGAAAATGTGCTGTCAAGTTAGAAGGGAGTCCACTTTGTCAGAGCTTCAAGAAGTAGAAAAGCCTGTACAAACATTTTATTATTTTATTTTGATGAACTACCTCAACTTTTATCGTTTTTCAGATTACAGAAAACCACAATTGACATTTTTCTTTTTGAGGAACTGCTGTGTAGAGAAGAGAGACAGAGATTGCTATGGTGTCAATGTAATTTCTGAATGCATCACACAATCTTTTGTTATATGTCAAAAGCATAAACAAAAACACTCCATGTGTCATAGTCTACAAAAGATATCAGGTTTTATAGCATAATAATGCATGACAGCTCTCTTAATACTCCTGATAATTCAGTAATTATGTAAATACCTCCAAATTTGATTACACAGATTCACAAATGTCATTTAAGTTTGTGAGCCAAACTCAGATTGCTCTATGTGTGAATGCAGCAACATGGAAACCTTTAGTGTGAACTTGGCTATGCCAGTTTTCATACTGCTGGACGAGATCCTCTGATCACTGCAGTAATGTGTGACAAAAAGTGATTTGAAGTCACTTTTTCATAGTTATGATCCCCTAATCCTCAGTTCAAGTCTGTAGGATGTGGAGATGCCTCAGGGCTGAGCTAAGCTTCGACCACCCACTCCCTCCCACAAGCATGGAGATCCAGACCGTTGTCTCATCCTCTTCAGCAGGGTCCTATGCTGAGATGGGGAGAGCAGGAATGGGAGGAACAACATGAAGATGGATGGTGAGATCTGCCTTGGAGATCATCATCTGCAGGGATACTCTTCGCACACTCCAGTAAGGTAGCTCCACCTCTCCTTCACCCACGGAGAAGTGCAAAGGCACCATGGCAAAAGCTTAGGACTTTGTCTTTGGAAATGGTAGACATGTTTACTTGCTAATACCACCTCTCCCAGAGAATCTGATTTGTATAGACTACTACATTCCTAATAAATGCAAGTACTGCTTCAAGAATGTTACTAGTTTTTAACTGGCTCCCTCACCCTCTTGGTTATGTCATCACTGTATTAGGATAAACATAACAGGGTTTTAACCAGAACTGTTTGTGGTGGCTGAAATAAGATACTCTAAAGAAAAGATTTTTATAAATGTGACACATCAGCCCCCTAGCAATAGGAGAAACAGCAGATATAGCTTCTGTATAATGCATGAACACAGGATTACTTCCATGAATCAACAGTTTTGCATTAAACTATAAAATCATCATCATACACAGATAACTAAAAGCAAGGATTGTACCTCCAGAGCTATAATGAGATTATGAAGGTCAAATAACAATCCCATTACTTGTGTTACATAACTCAAAATAGGGTGCATGTCAATGCAAGAAAATGGAAAGGTGACTGCCCTTTTGTATATATCGACTACTTTGATTCAGATCGTTTCTTTTATAGTAATTCTGTTCTAATTACCTTTAGCAAAATATTTTCTCTTATATGAAGTTCTAATACCATACAGCAAGAAAGTCATTTTCTAAAAAAAATCTGTGCTATGCTCTGCAGATAAAAAGGGGCTGTTATTTCACAAAATCCCAGGGCAGATTAATCAGCCTCAGACACCAAAAAGCAGCAGGCTGGGGAATCTCTTCTTGGTCAAACAAGCCACTGCCCTCAGCTACTGTGGGCAGACTCCAACAAGGCATTAACAAGTCATAGGGTACAACACATGCATGATGCTGCACAACATCAAGGGTCAGCAGAAAGGGTAGTTTTTCCTCACTTGTGAGAATAATTAGGAAAGTATTTCATTAGAAATACAGAAGCTTCACAATTTTCTGTCAACTACAGCAGTCTTTGGTATACACAATAACAAAGAATGGGAATAAAATGGGAAAAAAAAATATTATTTAAATGGGAAAAAATGATTATTTAGGGGGCTATGACTTGCTCTTTACTTTGTGCTTTAAATTGTCTTTATTTTTTAATGAACATTACCAATAGTCTGATTGTAGAAGCATAGTCCTGAAGTACTTTCCTTAAATATCAAGACCAAAGGATTTCAACAAAATTTTCAACCTAGGAAGGTCACTTGCTTGTAGATATAGTAGAACATGGCATATTTAATGAAAGATAGTTCAAAAGGGAAAATCAACACTCTACAGCCCAGCTTTCCAAATTAGGATTGCCTAAATTCAGTTTCCTATTTCTACAACCAGCATTTACAGAGATGAATATCAACTATAATAATGCTTTCTCTAAAGGCATCTCTCCCTTTGAAAATCACATATTGAATTATGAACTTTAGAGCCTAATTTTTAGGCAACAAAGATTAAAAACACTGGACTCAAGCTTTCCTGTTCAACATTTCATCTTCTCAGAAGCTCTAGCCAATTAACTGG